GGCTGCAGTAAGGTCTCCCCAGTGCCATCTCTTTTCCAGGTGAAAAAATCCCAGCTCTCTTAGCCTTTCTTCACAGTCCTCTGATGATGTTTCTGGACTCACTGTAACAGATCCATGTCTTTTTTGTACTGAGGTACCATTGTTGGAAACAGTGCTTCAGGTGGGGTCCCCCAAGAGTGGAGTGTGAGAAACACCTCCATCAATCTACTGACTACTCTCTTGTTGCAGTCCAGGATATAACTGGCTTTCTGAGCTACAAATGCATGTTGCCATCTCATGTCCAATTTTTCAGTCACCAGAATGTCAAAGCGGTCTGCAGGGCAGCTCTCAATTCATTCATCACCTAGACTGTATTGATACCGGAGATGTTCCTGACCCAGGTGAAGGACCTTACATTTGGCCTTGTTGAACTTCCTGAGGTTGACAAGGGCCAATTTTTCAAGCCTGTCATGTCCCTGTAGATGGCATCCCTTCTAACATATCAATAGTTTGTACTACTCATCTTGGTGTCTTCTGCAAACTTGCTGAGTATGCACTAAATCCTACTATCTCAATCATTAATGAAGATATTTAATAACGTTGTTCCCAGTACATACCCTAGAGGGACATCATTCATAACAGAGGGACTTGAAGGATCTTGCCCTCCATTCTTCTGCATCCCTCTGACTGGAAGCTGTTCCTGCCTCACCACCTCTCCAACAGGCTGCTTCTGCTTCTTTTGGCCTCTTTTTGCACTCATCCTAATGATATAAAGCCTGATACTAAACTTATCAGGTCAGAAGTACCTAGTTAGCTCAAACTTAACTAGGAACTGTAGTATGTGTTGTCTCAGAAGTTGGCATGTACTTCCAATTAAAAAACAAAACAAAACAAAAACAACAACAACAAAAACAAATAAAAGAAAAAAGTATTTCATAGTACAATTTTGAAAGAAATAATGGTTATTTTGCTCTCCTCTGCCTTGATAATCTGTAATTTGGCATGGTGGTAAAAAAATTACATGTAATGGATGATACTTTTTTTGTGTGTGTTTTTGTTTATAACTTTATATATGCATGCTACTTATTGTTTTTGTTGTGCGCCTGCCAACACACAAGGAGAAATAATGCTTATTATTCTTAGCTTTTTTGCTGGGTGCTAGATCTGGCAGAACCCTAGAAAGATGTAACTCTCCTATGAGCAAGATAATATGAGAGATTTTTATGGAAGGATAGCAGAGCATAAGAGACAGTAAAGAAGGAGTGCTGGGTGGCAGATTCATGATAGGATAAAAAAAAGCCTAAATAGGATAAATAAAAGCCTAGCTGCTTTCATTCTCAGTGTGTCATTGAACTAGGAAATATAATATTGAAAACAAAAAGAAAACTTATAAAAAAGTATGTTTATATAGAAAATGTTGGGTGTCTCTGCCACTCGCTTTCTGAGCTGGCAATAGGAACCAGGAAGCTACATTAAGTGGCCTGTCTAGCTACAAATTAGAATTATTAGTGTGATTATTTCATTTCTAATTACTAATCTCTGTTTCAGTGCTAATGAAACAGAGCTCTCAGATATACATTTCTCAGATTGTCTAGTTTACACAGGAAACTTTCCTTTCTATTTATTGAGGATGAATGTTTCATAATTTTCCCAGTGAATTGACAAAATAATTACTTGAATGTTCACAGACTAGAATGGCTGATATATTCATGATCATTATCTACGAAACTATCTTCTACTGTCAACAAGTGGATTACATAGATTAAAAGGTCTTCAGGAACTACAGTTTCATTACTGACATGCATATGTTAGATAGTATACTTAACAATCCAGTAAAATTTCAGTCACACAGTGTTTACAAGATTTGCTGAAAAAGTACTGCCACAAAGTATTCCCAAATACATGTCCTTTGCCATAGGGTAAACAGCACAGAGCTAAAATACCATGCTGAAAATAGAAAAGTGCCTATATTTGCAGAAAATACTCAGGGAGCACTACATTCATTATAGATGTGATTGCAATCATGTTTCCTTTGGAAATCTTATTAAGGTTTATGATGCTGTGTTGTAAAGTTTGGACCAAAGGTAGGTCTGCATTCTTTTATTAAACAGTAAAATTCCTTCCAGTGTACATTTTTTCTGTGTTTGTGTGCATTGTGGAAGAATGTTTTTCCAAGAGCAATCACAACTGTTTATACTTCTGGGGTGAAAAGCTGTGGATATGGATTCTCTGGAACAGAATACATATATGTCTGCTAGAATTATATAATAGTTAACTTTAGTTAACTTTTTGTTTGTTTGTTTGTTTGTTTTAACTTACACAGGAATTGTTTTGTGAAACCATACTTTTTAATGTAGCATTTTCCTTCTGATTCCTTATGTGTCTCAGGTAGATTATAAATTGCTTGCTCACCTTGCATTAAGAGCTGAAGGATATGTATGCATTTACAAGACAGAGCAGAGATGTGATCATTTTTTCAAAGCAAGAGTCCCTTTCATGGTGCCTTGTGCCCTTATTTACAGGTTCAATATGGCTACATCCCAATTCCATGTAGAGAAAAACAGGATTGCTTCCCAATCTGCCCATTTCCCAATATTCTGCAGAATTTCCAAGGTATCAGCACTTTGGAGGATATCAGAGGATCTGAGCTGTGAAGATATGAGGACCTTCACAGTGCACAATGCCCCCTTACATTACAACTATCCTGCCACTAGGACTGCTACATTCACCACTGAGCATTTTCATCCTTTGATGGAAATGGGTTAGGAGGGTTGGGTCCCTTTCCTTTATGTCTGTATTCCCCATGTTCTTTGCTTATAAGGAAGATGTCAATTCTGTGATGAGCACTTTGCATGATAAGTTTAAATGTTGATATTTCTACTGCAGTTCATTCATCTAAAATCATTTGTGTTTGTAAAGCAAACAAATGATTTTGTTCATAAGATAAATTAGTATTTGGTGAGACCAAAATAAGTAAAACATATTTACAAGAAAACTAAATAGCCTTTGTATACTGATCTCAGAGAAATCAGCATGAAAAAAACTGATTTTAATGATGATAGATTTTAGTATGATATTGTAAAGGTTTTTAGGTTTTTTTTTTAAAAAATATTTGCTGGAAGTTATGTTAGAAAAACTAAAACACCTAAATATTGAAAAATGTTTAAAGAATAAATTAAATGACAATCAGAGTGTTTTTGTGTGTGTGTTTTTTGTTTTGTTTTGTTTTGTTTTCAGTTATATTCCAATGATAAACTTACAAGATTTCCTATAAGATATGCTGTCATACTACATTGTAATTAATCATGATGATCTTCTATCTTCACTTTCTTTGTGGGCCAGGGAATATGATGTAATGTATATGGGATATATAACAACATAATATACTTCATAAAATGCTTTATTAGACCAGTATGAAAAACACAGTTATCCTTATTTGTGACCTTTCCATCTGACTGTCAAAACTTGTATTTAAATCCTAATTTTAAATGAGATACCGCATCAATATATAATATACATATTTGTAGTATACATAGAAGAAAATAGATATTTTCAAATGCTGTTCATTTGCTTTTGCCAAACTCCAGCCTCTAATAAAAGGTAGAAAATGTGCATTCTTAACATCAGAGACAATAACCAGTGCAGTGGAATGACCTTTTCCCAAATCTGTAAGACTCTCAGTGTTCACTGTCACTATCTTGACAAAGTAAAACACATATTTCTCTAATTTTAAACCATTTGCAATATAGAATTGTCCGATCTATAGTTATTTATGCTTAAATTTTTCTAAAAGCTCTCTAGCATTTCCAAGGACTAATATTTCAAAGAGATTTTATTTCAGTTGATTGAGCTACCACTCAAAGTTTTTGAAGAGAACACTCATAATTTTTTTATTTTTCATGTTATGCCTACATGTATATGAAGAATGTCTGATTTATAAATATTTATAATCAGTAGAGAACAGACGACTTGTTTTTTTTTTTTTTTTTTTTTTTTTTTTTTCTGCCAACCAGTTCTATTTTGAAAAATCAGTTGCTTCATAAGCTTTTGATATGCAGTCTGACTTCTTTTTCTCATCTGTATCAGTGTTTTTAAAAAACGTTCTTCTCACCTCCTAAAGATTTTGGTTCTTCAGCTGTTGTATGTTAACAACTATTGATTTCAATAGAAGTTCTGATTGCTTGATTCCTGCAGTGATATTTAATCTATTATAATAATGTAATTTATTTATCTTATATTTGGCATCAGACAGGAACTAAAATCTTCAGCACTACCCAATATTTTTAGACACTGAAATTTTAAGTATAGGTAAAAGCTGCAGAAGGAAAAAAAAAAAAAAAAAAAAAAAAGGAATTAGCTTTCACATATGCATCTTTGTGAGATATTTCTGCAAACATGTAGTGTCAGACTTTTTAGCTAACCCATGTGATTTGCAGAGTATTGTTGAAAGGAGGAACATATTTAGCATATTTAGATACAGCTAGTAGTTCTGCACTGCATATACAAAGTAATGTACAGCAGTGAAGGAAAGACAATGGGCTGGCAGGCACTTCTGTACTGGTGACTTAGGTTCGTAGAAATACAATTAAAAATATCGAATATGCGTATTACCATAAGTAATAAATTTAATAGCTATCTTTTTATATATATATATATTGTTTTGAAACTACAGGAGAATTTTCTGTCTTAAAGCTTTATGCTGCTACTCATTTCAGTCTAGAATATGAGTCCTTCTTGCAGTCCATAGTGTCTTTGATAGTCCTTTCAGGGATAAAAATTCTTGATTTACCTTTAAATTTTTAACATGACATATGTAAAAATAAATAAATAAATAAATAAATAAATAAATAAATAAATAAATAAATAAATAAATAAGAGAGATTTTCTTATTCCATTCTTGTTCCATATCTTGTATACTGGGTAATTGAAATATTATTTTGATAAATTATAGATTCTTACCTTTATTCAGTCAGTGTTGACTTCTTATTTGTTAGTGAGGTTTGTTTGTTTGTTTTTTTCAGAATATTCAGAAGCTGTTCCTGGCCTCCCCACTTCATATGCTGCTATTCTCAGAATCAAATCTGGTAGTTCATCTTTAGCCTCATTTAACTCAAAGAACAGACCACGATTAAGCAGTCCTTCATTAGGAAGTGTATCTTCACCAGGCTGGAGAGGAGCTGCACAACATTATCACTCCCCAACAAACCTTTACCACTTTTCAGAGGCCTTCAAACATGATGGTAAGTCTAGTTTCCTTCTCTGGTTCTTCGAAAAGCCCATGCTTATGTCTGGCCAACACAATTTTTCAAACACAGTATGTTTCTTATCAGTTTAATTCAGCATTTCTCAAACTTAATTTTGAATTTTATTAAACAAAGTAGAAATGGGCATCTTTCCCTTGAGATTCTTCCAATTAGCCATAAAGTCACTGGCTAAAATATTTATTAAAGATTACTATACGGAACTGTTTTATACAGTTTTTGCTACATGAAAGTAGCAAGCTAGTGATTTGAAATTCCATTACAGCACAATTTGATCTGTGCAACTAGTATCTGTATATTTGAGAAGCAAAGTAATAAAATGTCAGACTCTGACAGTCTATATATATATACATATATATATTATTTGGATTTTTTCTAATTTAATCAAGAATGATAGTAACATAAATTAATGATGAATAGTAAATCTTATAAAATTACTTTTTCTCTAAATTGTCTGCTTTGTATAGTCAATTCTGTTATATGCATAGCTACACTTATGGTGCAATATGGTTTCATTTACCTTTAAATACAATAATTCAAATAATATGTATTTTCTCATATTTGGGTACATTTAAAGAATCTGTGTTTCGTTAGTATTTATTTAATTATATTTACCTGAATTATGTAAGAAGAAAAAAGAAAAGATGAGAGAGAGAGAAAAGGAGAAAGTGAAGAAAGAAGGAGAGGGAGAGGGTAAAAAAAAAAAGACCACAGATCAACAACATTCATGCAGTATAATGATTGTGGTTACAGGATTACAGCTTCATTCAATAGGAGACACATTTATTTGTTTGTTTGTTTGTTTGTTTGTTTTATGGAAAGTACCTTGCATGCATTGAAAGATAATGGTACATGTTTTTTTTTTTTCCTGTGAACAGAAGTGGCTTATGTATAAACATGAACATGTTCCCTAAATGAAGCTTTATCTAGCAGACAAACAACTTGAATTAAGCAACCAGATAAATTTTGTTTCATAGCATTTCTGTTGCTGGTGCAGTTTTTTACATTTCTCTGTTTTCTGCGATATTGTTTGTAAGCACTGACTACACTAAATTCAGTTATTGTCCATGCACCAGACATTGATGAAACCTCCCAGGCAACCTAGTATGTGCAGGTGAAAAACAAAGTTCAAGATTAGAAGCAGTGTACTATCCTGGTCTTCAACATCATGAGTTAGAGACCAAAGTAGAAGGAAATGGTAGCTGTAAGGCAACAGAAAAGAGACTTTAGGAATAATGTAATATAATATGAAACTACAAAGCATTTTCTTCCTAATTGACCCTGATTTTTCCATTGTTTTCCTCTGGAAAACAGATTACTATGTTTAAATTTGATATGAAGTTTGACTGTTACATTTGAATCCTTTGACAAAGCTGAAAAAAATGTATACTTATCACTTTCTAAGAAAATAAGAGATGGTCTAGTGACCCTTAGGGTGCATTCTACCACCTAAATCCTTTGAATTTCCAGGAGATATACTGAGATTGTGCCTGGTATTGGTCAGCAATTGTGACTCTTCTCAATATACAGAGACCACATTTTCACTTTGCAGTTTAGCTTCTTCTGTTTTGCAGCAGAAAGTGAAGAACCACTAACTGGAGTTAAAATTTAAAAAGGGTCATAACTCGTAAGCCCCAGTGAACAGAGCACTTCACTCAGAAGAGGGGAACCTTAACTCTTTCTTTCAAGGACTGCATAAAACCGTCCCAGGAGTTACTCCATTACTTACAGGCCTTTGTATATCCAGCTGAGTAGAAGCAGACAGTTGCACAGACAGGTAAATATGAAGCACCTGAGTAATATTTTAAGAGCCCTTGATTATCTGAAGCACCTCCATGGCACAGACACAGGTATGAATTAGGACTTGAAAGAGACTATTGTACTTCAGGTACAACAGGAGTGAGGATCCTTTGTAAGGAGACTGGGCTCTGTAGGATATTCTGCATCATCGTAGAGGGTGAGAACATCTATATTCAGGCAACTGAATCCATTTTTTTCAAAACCTCTCTTAGTTCATGATATGGTATATTTTCTGTTAATTACTTATGTCTGAGATAAATATTTAACATTTAGAAAACAGAAATAAATTTACTTCCTCAATTATCTGTTTTCCCATTGACTTTAACTAAGTAAAATAAGTAAATTTATTGAGTTCAGTTTGGTCTTCAGACTTATTTAAGATTCTAAAGCTCTTGAAGAAAAAATATTTTAGTTATTTTCCTAATAATTTTAGTTATTCCTATTTCCTTTAGTTATTTTCCTACTTTTATGTGATAACTGATAAAGTTGGGTGATGGTATTTACTAGCCAGGGCATTCTAAATAAGGAAACGGTACAGCTCATGTATAGTCATAAGGTGCCTGCAACAAGTGACAGAACATTAATAATGGGGTGGGAGGGACATATTTTATGTTATTACAATTGAGAACTTGCATAATTCAAACATCTTTTATGTGGCGTACACTTAGGAGCCAGATTTGCCATAAGAAATGACAGAATACTCTTATTAGCAGCCTAAGTATAGGGGTTCTCAAGGGACTTAATTGATTTCCCAGCAGACATGCTCAGAGGCCTGACATGGCTCTTAATAAAGCTCTTCTTATACTGACGTTATGCTATTTAATTTGCACTCGCAGTATATCAGTATGGTTTTCTTGATATCACAAATTAAAAGAACTCTCCTGCAGCTCACTGCTGAATTTAAACTATATAGAATTACTTAGCGTAAACATGCAGTTAAGGCAATGCAGTCCTCTTCAAGCTATGTATCAATGCATAAAGTCATGACTAAAGAATTTGCACAGAAAGTGCACATTCATGAAGCACATATTCATGCGATACTCGAAGAATCATAAAATTGTAAACTCAGTTGCAAACAAATTTTCTTACTGTTCCTAAAACTTTTGGAAACACAACAGTAAATAAATATTTGAAATTAACTTTGAATAAAGACTATCCTTCTATCTATGGTTTGATATCTTTTAGAAGAAAAGAAAGAGGAGGGTCTACCTCACAACAGAAAATGTTTGAATCAATGAATTTCAAGATGAGTCAGTTTTTTGTTGAATTTGAGTTCCTAGTTCCACACCGTCTGCTAGGTACTCTCAAACTACCTAAATAAGATAAAAAAGAAATAGTATTTTTTATAAAAGTGTGTGGGGAACAGAAAATCTTCCCTTGAGAAATTAAAATAGTAAACTGAGATATACCAATGAATCATAGAATAATTTGGATTAGAAGGGATCTTAAAGCACATCTAATTCCAAACCCCTGCCATGGGTAGGGACATTATCTGGTAGACCAAGTTGCTCAAAGCCCCATCCAGTCTGGCCTTGAACACTTCCAGGGATGGGGCATCCACAGCTTCTTCAGGCATCTTGTTCCAGTGCCTTATCACCCTCAGAGTAAATAATTTATTCTTTATACCTAGTCTAAATCTACTCTTTTTTAGTTAAAAAATATTACCCCTTGTCCTATCTTTACACTCCCTGAGAAAGAGTCTCTCTCCTGCTTTCCTGTAGAACCCCTTTAGGTACTGGAAGGCCACTGTAAGATCTCCTTCTCCAGGCTGAACAACACCAACTCCCTCAGCCTGTGTTCACAGAAGAGGTGCTCCAACCCCTTGATTCATCTTCATGGCCCTACTCTGGACTTGTTCTAACACATCCATGTCCTTCTTGTGGTGGGGGCCCCAGAGCTGAACATAGTACTCCAGGTGGGGTCTCACAAGAGCAGTGCAAAGGGGAAAAAATCACTTCCCTTGACCTGCTGGCACACTTCTTTTGATGCAACCCAGAATACAGTTGGCTTTCTGGGCTGCAAGTGCACATTGTTGGTTGAGCTTCTCATCAACCAACAACTTCAGGTCTTTTTCCTCAGGGCTGCTCTCAATCCATTCTCCACTCAGCCTGTATTTGTGCTTGGGATTGCCTTGGCCAAGATGCAGGCCCTTGTACTTGGCCTTGTTGAATATTGCTGACCATATGGAAAAGCCCCAATAATTATTACAATTGCTCACCACCCACTGACTGATGCCCATTCCATCCCCGAGCAGCAGCCCACACACGCCCTGGCCAGTCACCCCATATAATTGTTCAGCATGACGTCATATGGTATGGGACATCCCTTTGGCCAGTTTAGGCCAGCTGTCCTATTTCTGTCTCTTCCCAGCTCCTTGTGCACCCTCAACTTCGTTGCTGGCAGGGCAATATGAGAAGCAGAAAAGTCCTTGGGATAGTCTAAACATCAGCTAAACAACAATAATCTAAACAACAGCTAAAACATCAGTATTATTCTCATACCATATAAAAACATAGCACTAGGAAGCTACTAGGAAGAAAATTAACTATCCCAGCTGAAACCAGGACAAAGGCCGAGCTCTCATCAGCTTGGGAAAAAAGGGCTGTCACTCAAATACAGTGGGAGAAACCCCATAAGTCAGGCCCATTGGGAAAATGGCTGACACAAAGAGTCCACTATCATTCCTGTCTGTGAGGACAGCCTCTTAACTAGGACTGTTCATCCTGAGGCCCTTTGCCCCATCCCAGGGCCAGGGCCGAGGGAAGTGGAATTCAGCATGAGGTTGCAGACAAATAAATGGATTGTCTAAACACTGGGGAGTAGTTTAGGTGTTTAATACACATAGCTCCACTTCAACTTTCAACTTAAAAAAAAACTAATATCCTATGGATATACATGAAACTGGCAGATATGACACTGGACCTGGAAAAAAAAAAATAAAAATGCATGCCTCTAGATCAACCACACCAGGGCACCTCATATGGCACTAAATATTCATTTTAATTCTAGTGGTAATATCAAGAAGTCCACTGGCTCCACCTACAGACAGGTAACTCACCGCTGTTGCACAGAGTAGGGCTCATCTGTTAGGGCTGGACTGTGCAGCAGCACTTCAGGGGTTGTGAAGACCCTCACCTGACCTGAACCTACACCAGAATAGAGCAGGGCTGACACAAACATGGCACTCTGCTGGTCTGCTCTCCCAGCAGTTTTGCCCAAGACAGTAGCTTGTAAGCAATCTCCCTGTCTTTTGATTGCTTGTAAGCAATCTCCCTGTAACACCCATGAGCTTTTACATCCTATTTCTCCCCTTTATTGCTGAGGAGGGGCAGTGAGTGGCTGGTGGCTTGCAGCTGGCAGATGTCAACCCACCATAATATGTAATGTACTACAGTAATGCTTTTTGGAGAGTATGTACTGTAAATATAGAAGGTTTTGTTTGTTTGTTTGTTTTGTTTGTTTTATTGTTTTAGCTTATGAACTGTTTAATGCTTATAATTATGTAAAAATTTGAACAAATATATAAGCCTGCTTGCTTCTGTAAAGTAGTTCATATGTATAAATGTGGTCAAACAGACTTTATAATTAGGCACTCAGGCACTTTTTTTTTTTTTCTTTCTATTTTTGCTCAACAATCATGCATATTTACTGCTATCTAAAAATCTGTCACCTTGGTTACTCATGGGATTAGCCTAAGGTCTCAGAAAACGTACTACAACAACTGTTCATGATAACACTGTGGTAAGACCCGGAGATGCACTTTTCAGGGAAGATTCTCAAAAGAAAAAAAAAAAAAAAAAAAACGAAAAAAAAAACTTATGCAGTTTATTAGACCTGGGACTAACAACCAGCATTTATTAACCCTGATGTTGGCTTTCCCAAGCATAATAGAGCAGTCCTTCAGTATATTTTGTAAAAGTACACATGACCAATTTCTGTGAATATTAATGTGCAGTTATGTGCAGTTATGCTATAGGCAGAGGAAATTGTATTTAGGTTTTTAATGGTGATTAAATGTGTTTAATATGTGATACAACACTAAAAGATAAATTAAGATATTCCCAGTTGTAATCAGGTGAAATTCATCTGGTACTCCACTTCAAACTGGAATCCTCAAGCAGATTGCAGTCAAGCTCTCCTAGGTATTTGCTGTTGTTATTAATGCCTCTATAACTTGGAATTCCTGAATAAGTGAACATTCTCAAACAACACACCAAGATTAGCAATTAAAACCAAAGATATTTAAAAGTGAGGTCTTAACCCGTGTGTATTTTTCAATTGTAAAACTTCATCGCCATCTACTCAAAAATCTCCAGTCCTTAAAAAACAGTGATAGATGAGATTCATCTGTTCCTGAGAAATCCCATACTGATCACAAAATATGTTTTTTCCAAGCACCTCAGGTTTTAGTCTACATATTATTCTCTCAGGTATAAATATCTGCCTCAGAAATGATAAAATTAATATAATGGGTGAAGAAGATACTCAAAAATTTAAATGAAATAGTATTGGTGAATTGAAAATTGAAAAGCACTATGAAAATTAAAGAATTTATAGTAGTTTGAAGCCATCTATCTCAACGTTGATTATCGACTCAATTCCCTTACCAATAAATTAAATATTTAAAATTATAAGTTAGGATTATGGTTCCTTATTTCTGTTCTTTAATATGAAAAGGTTGAGAACTGCTAGTAAGTAATTTTTATTAAAAATAAAAGTTTATCAGTTAGTAGGATGGCAAAACACAGTCAGAATTCTATTACACTTTTTCACGAAAATTCAGAATTTTATCCTGCCAAATGGTAAGTCTCATAGTCTGTAGTATGAGTGGTGCCATGCACACACTTTTTTTTTTAATTATTATTATTTATTATAAAGAAATGTATTAACTATATAAGTTTAGGTATGAATTACACTGCTTGTTTTCAGAGATGTAAGGCTGTGAACCTGAGTACCTGAGACTCACCCCACCATGAAACTGAAACATCAGCAGTGTGCACTGGCTTCTGGGAATTATTAAGTCCCACAATTTCAATGTAATGTTAAACTCCCTACACAAAAATCAGAATACAGTTAGCCTCAATTGGTGTTTTAGTAGATTTTGGATAAGTTATGGATTATCCATTATCTTCAATGGCGATTTTAAATATTGGCTAAAACATGTGCTCATCATTGATACAAATACTGAAGCCTTCACAAGGCTTTGTTTTATCTGAGCTTTTATTATCATTACGCATAAGAAGATTAAAACTTTAAATATAAATATATATGTCATGCAGTATTTTAATTTCATATTTATACTTATTTGGAAATATTTAAATGAAATGTTTATATGTGCAGTATGTTCCCTTCACTTCTTTTGAAATATAGACAGGAGGTATAGAACCAGCATTGCTAGTGACACTAGCACCTAACTAGTATTGCATCATTTACTTTCTAGCAATCCTAGATTGTAACAAAATATTTTACCTACAGTGTCACTCCTAGAGAGAAGGTAAAACCATTAGTGCTCATCAATACTTCCAAGCTGTACACCTCTTAATCTGTGTGGGATAACAACTAAAAGCATTATTTAGTTTTGCATTTATTAATCAATTCTTACTATTGCTAAACCCTAGCTTGATGAATGCTCTGATTATTTACAAACAGATTCTCTCTGTTGCGATGTGAGAAGTACGTATCTGAATTATAAGATGCAAACCATACAATACATTGTAACCATAAAATGACAGGTAAAACTCTGTTCCCATACATTTCATTGCAGCAAATAGGACAAAATGACTATTCTCTTGCTCATCCAAATCCATAGGTTCGTGCTTTGAATTTGATGTGTATTATAAGACTAAATGATTCAAGAGTTTGGAGCAAGGCTAAGGTGATTAAAATTCCACAGTCTTCTACTGCATAGTGAGCATACATGTTCACAAACAGTCTACCTGCAACCTTTTACTCTTCTGAAGGTTACACTTCCCTCTGCACATTATGAATGAATTGGAGTCATAGACATATTGTCTGGGTCTATACAGCTTTTCTTATCCAGAAATGTTAATTCATATGAAGATACAATATATGACAAAATTAGAGAAGACAGTGAAAGAAAATGAAATGTCAGACTTTCATTTACATTATTTAATAGTAGCAACCAGTTGCTGCTATTAATTTAAAAAGCATTTTTTTTCTTAGCATATCTTTGACATAAAGAGGAAATGTGTTTCAGTTCTGATATGAGCTTCTGAAAGCATCAAGATAATTTTTGTTTACCTTGCTTCCTATAAACAGAGTTAATTCCTCTAGCATTCTTAATTCTCTTAAACTGCTCATTAGGCTTCAGGCCAAAATATGTCTATTGGGAAAGCTATTTTAATGCACTGGCTTAGTGCACACCTTAAATCTTACTACTTCACTGTTACATTAATATTTCTTTCTTACATATATATTAATTTTCTTTTAACTATTGCTTTTTAACACAGCGTCCGAGGTAATGTGATTCGAATCTCTAGATAACAAAGACAGTTTTTAATACTATCATCTAACTTTATAAATGCTAAAACACATTAATATTTATTCATATTTTCAAAACTTTTGCACTTCTATTTCCACAGAAAGTGTCAATTATGGGCCTGTGTTTGTACAAGAGCCAGATGATGTGATTTTTCCTACTGATTCTGAAGAGAAGAAAGTGTCTCTGAATTGTCAAGCTCATGGAAATCCTATCCCCACATACAGGTACATGTTTTAGAAGTTTTTGTATCTTTAAGAATATTTGGTCATAACAATATAACAGAAACACTTTAAAACTTTTGTGACCAAATCACATTCCTGATTCAATGATTTTTCTGATTCTGAATAAGCAAGAAAGATAAATGGGAGTAAGTAAAGGCAAAGCAATCTGTGAAATTTCAAATTATGTTATCTATGCATTGTATCTATCCATGTGAAGGGACTCCTTTTGCCTTGTTTTCTCACATATGACTGTAACAACTGACAAGATCAAAACATTTAACTGATTTTTTTTCTAAAGACAACATCTTTAAAGATGGGAAATACTATCCTGTTTTATGGGGAAAGCAGCCAAGAACAGGTAAATTAAATTACATGATTGTCTAATACAAGGCACCATAGTTCAGCCATGTCTGGAATCTTTTCACTTACAAGACCAGCATCTTACTCTTTTGCAACCATTTTCTCTTCCCTGTTTTCCCACATATAGTGTTATTTGACAGTTAACTCATACAGATCTGTTATGTCACGTCTATGAGTCTGACAGTTCAGCATAATGGTGCCCACCTACAGGCGGAACCAGCATGCTGCAGTCACCTTACCCATTTGCTGTATCTGACTCTACTCGTATTTTTAAGAATTCCAAGTGATGTAGCAGGGCTGGGAGAACATATGGGTAATTATTTTTTCCAGACACCCTTTATATTTTCACACAGAATTATTCTTCACCTACTGAGGGAGAATAAGGACTCATCACCATTTTTTTTGTCTTATGTGACAGTCATTGATTCTTAGTTTTATTTTTTATCTATTACAATTATTTCACTTGTGGATTCTTTAGCATACTGGGTGAATTTTCCTTAGGCTTATTTGAGTCACAGAACTTGCACTTGCACTTCTATGGCACACATTCAAAGGCAGTACCCCCTTTAGATACCTCTACTACAACAGCACTGAATCTGCCTCAATGCAACAGATGTGATTCATTAAACTGATTTGGTAAGTGGCACAGACTCCTCAAACAACATAGACATGGCTAACATAGAACATAGGATTAGGAATGAGTGGCCAGAAAGTCTTCAAACTGGAATTGCCTGAACTCACTGTGGGATGAAAGACAGTGTTGCATTCCTTCTTACTGATAACCTCTGTGTAATTTCTATTGCATATTTATTACTTTGTTGATAAAAAATAATGTGTGCTAATTCTACACTCAGTTTAAGAGCTATCAGTCCATTCAACACCATAAGAGTCATGGGCAAAAGGTACAAATTACCAACAAAAGAGGGGAACCCTGTTCTCAGATCTCACAGACAACCTCATTAATACTAAAATCATAGAATGGTTTCGTTTGGAATGTACTTTTACAGATCAGATAATCTTTAGCTTAGCCATCACTACCATCTCTGCCATGGGCAGCGACAAATATTGTGGAAACATTCTCTTTTGGAAATCTATGGAGAATCTATGCCATCTCATTTCTTTCTTGGTCCAACCATTTTTACATTTTCCCAGAGGAATTCAATCAACAAACACTTTCAGCATATTCATTTCTTCAGTTCTCCAGAGATTCACTAGTACCAGCAGTCTCAGAAACAAGCTGACTTGACAGGTGTTCATGCAAGGAGAGCTTTGACCAGAAAGGTCTAATTCTAACAGCACTATTTAACTTCTCTTCCTTCTGTTGATACCACTTGTCCATACAGTGCATGCCATCACTACTATTCAGTGGAAGAAAAATAAAAGATATGCATGAATTTGTCAGGCATATACTGTTCTCAGGGAAGGTGAAGAGTGAATTTAGCCTCAAAATAAGATTATGGTAAAACAGAGGTTTGTTGTATTTATCCAATTTTTGCCAAGTGAAATATGGCGGAGATGGCATATTTCCATATCACCAAAGTCCCTATTGTATTATCTACAAGCACTGGACAATAGAGATCTTTATTTACCTGGGCTGTAAGGTCCATGCCACTAAGAATTCTTTTCATCCATAAACAAAATAGAGTGTAATTTTTCTTTTTCTATATTTCTTTTTAAGAAGTATGCAAAAAGACCTCTTAAAGAACTAAAAAAATTCCAAAACTGAGATTGTCTCTGCCATTTTTATTTCATTCCCTTAGTCTGTATAACTGATGGCACAATGTTCATAAACTCTTTACAAATTACTTTTTGCTAAGACATTGCTTCAAGTTAATTGCATGGAGAATGCTCATATCATTTCAGATATTCTTCCTGTTTGCAAAGATCTTTTTTCTCTTTATTCAAGCTCTATCCTGAAATCAAAATGTGTACCTTTTTTTTTTTTTTTTTTTTGTGAGTCAGTCTTTTAATCTATTCAATGTATCTAAATGTTCTCACTTCTTAGATAATGGATGCCTCAGATAAATTGATTTCATTTTTTGCAAATCAGACTTCATTATTATAAGTCAGGACTCACTCAGTGAAGGACATAACTGAGATACCTTTGGTGAGAAATACGCATATTCACAAGCTTCCTGTGGGCTGTCACAAGGCACCAGCAATACTGAGTTAAAGGCAGGTGCAGAATTCCCTGAGATGCTAGTTCACTACACCTGTACTATTTGTGAAACACTGTGTTTACTAGTTGTTGTCGTTTAACTCTCATAGGTACACAGCCACGCACTCATTCCCCACCCACTGGGATGGAGGAAAGAATGAGAGGAGTTAAAGTGAGAACACTTGTGGGCTGAGATAAAGGCAGTTTAATAGGTAAAGCAAAATCTGTACGCACAAGGAAAACAAAATAAGGAATTCATTTACTAATTTCCATCAGCAGGTAGATGTTTAGGCATTTCCAGGAATGCAAGGCTCCATCACATGTAACAGTTACCTGGGAAGACAAACATGATAACTCTTGCCACACTCCTTCCTCCTTTTTTTCTCCCCATATCATATGGTGTGAAATATCCTTTTAGTGAGCTTGGATCAGTTGTCCTGGCTGCATCCTCTCCTAGCTTCTTGTGCAAGCCCAGCCTCCTTACTGGCAGGGCAGCACAACAAGTTGGCTCTGTGTGAGCACTGCTCTGCAAAAACTAACATTGGTGTTTTATCTAAAACATTTAATCACAAATCCAAATTATTGTGCTATGCAATCTACTGTGAAGAAAATTAACTCTATTGCAGCCAAAACCTGTACACAATTTTACTTAGGACACATATAATCTGGTTGGAAATTTTTTATCACAATCAGTTCTTGATAGAATAAAAACAGACGAGAAAAAAAAATAATAAAAAAGTATTTTTATTTTCTTACACCAAATTAGAATGTTATGAAATATTTTTTGTCATTTTCCTTCAAGAAATATATATAGAGAGAACTGATTTTCATCATCGGCTCATTGTCTTCTAAGTATTATATTTGTGTTTCTGTCCTCCCAAATCAGTCTAGCTAGATATAAGAAAACACATCATAAAATTCAGCATTGCTTTTCCTCTAATATGCTTAAATTATATCATCAGAATGCATGCAATCAGAATGGCCTTGGAGACTTATAGGTACGCAGCTGTAAAGCTCGAAGTATTGGGGTAGCCTTACAAAAACATATTTTTGCATTGAATTTAAACAAAAATGAAACTAAATGAAGTCAGCTACTCAAAGCAAACTGAATTTTGTTTCAATTCCCATTTGGAAATACCAAAATATGTCATTTTGACTTTTTCCTTATCTAAACATCCATCATTTCAAGATCAATTGATTTTGCACTTTTATTTCATATATATATATATATATTAACTTTCATAATGATTTTGTTCAAAATCTTGAATCATCAATAAACTGTTCAAGATGAAAAAATATTCTCTTATGCTCTGCTATGTATGGCTCTTTTTAAAGATGTGATTCTACAGACATTTCATTAATATTGCAGGGCAAGCAGGAGATCAGGCCCAGTCAGCATGGGTTTATGAAAGGCAGGTCCTGCTTGACGAACCTGATCTCCTTCTATGACAAAGTGACGCGCTGGGTGGATGAGGGAAAGGCTGTGGATGTGGTCTACCTTGACTTCAGCAAGGCTTTTGACACTTTTTACCACAGCATTCTCCTCAAGAAACTGGCTGCTCTTGGCTTGGACTGGCGCACGTTTCATTGGATTGGAAACTGGCTGGATAGCCGGGCCCAAAGAGTCGTGGTAAATGGAGTCAAGTCCAGTTGGAGGCCAGTCACTAGTGGTGTTCCCCAGGGCTCGGTGCTGGGGCCAGTCCTCTTTAATATCTTCATCGATGATCTGGATGAGGGCATTGAGTGCACCCTCAGTAAGTTCGCAGACGACACCAAGCTAGTGCATGTGTCGATCTGCTCAAGGGTAGGAAAGCTCTGCAGGAGGATCTGGATAGGCTGCACCAATGGGCTGAGGTCAACTGCATGAAGTTCAACAAGGCCAAGTGCCGGGTCCTCCACTTGGGGTGCAATGACCCCAAGCAGTGCTACAGGCTGGGAGATGAGTGGTTGGAGAGCTGCCAGGCAGAGAAGGACCTGGGAGTGATAGTTGATAGTCAGCTGAATATGAGCCAGCAGGGTGCTCAGGTGGCCAAGAAGGCCAACAGCATCCTGGCTTGCAGTGTGGCCAGCAGGGCTAGGGAGGTGATCGTCCCCCTGTACTCGGCTCTGGTGAGGCCGCACCTCGAGTACTGTGTTCAGTTTTGGGCCCCTCGCTACAAGAAGGACATCGAGGTGCTTGAGCGAGTCCAGAGAAGGGCGACGAAGCTGGTGAGGGGCCTGGAGAACAAGTCCTATGAGGAGCGGCTGAAGGAGCTGGGCTTGTTCAGTCTGGAGAAGAGGAGGCTCAGGGGCGACCTTATTGCTCTCTACAGATACCTTAAAGGAGGCTGTAGTGAGGTAGGGGTTGGCCTGTTCTCCCACGTGCCTGGTGACAGGACAAGGGGGAATGGACTTAAGTTGCACCAGGGGAGTTTTAGGTTAGATGTTAGAAAGAACTTCTTTACTGAAAGGGTTGTTAGACACTGGAACAGGCTGCCCAGGGAGGTGGTGGAGTCACCATCCCTGGAAGTCTTTAAAAAACGTTTAGATGTAGAGCTTAGGGATATGGTTTAGTGGGGACTGTTAGTGTTAGGCCAGGGGTTGGACTCGATGATCTTGAGGTCTCTTCCAACCTAGAAATTCTGTGATTCTGTGATATCCTTTGCAGTATAAAGATATTGTCAACGGTGCTCTATTTCTTACATTGAATGAGGCAGGGTTCCTCTGAGACCAAAAGTTCAATCATGATAAAATAGGCAAATAATAGTTTTACAGTTAAACTTAATTCTGACAATTCTGATTTTTGCATTAAGAAAAAATTAAGTACTCCAGCTGAATTTTGTTGTCTATACCTCATTCACCATGAGTGTTAACAAGATAGGATGAACCGATAATCATTTGGCTTCATTAAATTTGCCTCTGGAATCTACGTGTTGTCAAGTTCAGTCTTTGCTGAATTCTGGCAAAGCCTGAATGTACCTGGCAGTTTCCTGATACAACTTTGAAACTGCAGAATGATTGTGAACTAGTCATAAAAGAAATATCTGTATCTCAGAATAATGATGTCACATTACACTTTTCATAGAGATTTGTCATACCTGTTATACTGCTTGTCTCTTCTTTGCAATATCAGAAACATTCATTTAACAATTTAATGTTCTTAACAGTTTAACACAAAAGCTAATTTAAAATGTGGGTTGCTTATGTGGATTGTTATTCTTTAATTAAGATATTGTACCCTTCTCAGAGATTATTTCTGAGTGGTGAAGTCTATTAATCTGCCTCCCAAAATCTCTCTTTTATCCAGTGGGCTGAGTATTGTTTTATTTTAATTTTTTTTCCAGTCTTTGGAGATGAATGAGAGGGGTGAGGCTTTTTGCTGGAGAATATCCCCATTCATAAAAAAATAACCCAACCCCAAAAAAATGCTCAGCAGAAAAATGTAGTGACTCTTAGGTTACTTCTGAACCTCAGAAGAATAAGTATTCACATGAGAATTACTCAGTGCTTCAGCTAAAGCGTGATATGATTCCTGCCGCTTAGCTTGTTCCACCTTTTCGTCACTCCACTCCTTGTCTCTACTTTTAATTTCACTCCCAGACACCTCCCAAATTTAGTATTTCTTTTCCTAACTCCTCTGACCATAGCTTCCATTTATGTGGTAGCTGCCAGTCATTATCCTTGAAATTAACTAATTACAATTTCCCCAGATCCAGTCTTCTCTGAATTTCAAATATCTTGGCCCAGCTAACATTATTTTGCCTTTGTCCATTGCCAATATTACCAATATCTTTTACTTCACAGCAATCTGTGTACATAAATCCACCTCCCTGCTCTTCACAGGTTATGTTCTTCTACTTTCTGTAGTAAAATCAGATTTCTGCATTTCCTGGGCTAAGAACAAATGGTGAAAGAATTGAAAAAAAAAAAAAAAAAAAAAGTTCCAGCTCTCACACAGTGCAGACACAGATCTAAGGTCATCTGGGCCTAAGGCTTTAATAATAAAATATTAATTGAAACTTCACTTATTATAATCATGGTAAAACTCATAGTCTTGAGTTACTACACAGGCTATCTTTGAATAGCTTTCATCCTTAGCTGGTGCTATCAGGTTCTGTGTACTAATCTTGATGTCTTCCTTTGGCCATAAAATGCTCAAGTAGTTTTTTTTCTTTTTCTTTTTTTTTTTTTTTTTCCTAAGATGGCTTAGAAATGGAACTGAAATCGACATTGAAAGTGATTATCGCTACAGTTTAATAGAAGGAAGTTTGATCATCAGCAACCCCAGTGAAATGAAGGATTCTGGACAGTATCAGTGTTTAACCACCAACATGTTTGGTAGTATATTAAGCAGAGAGGCTGTTCTTCAGTTTGCATGTGAGTAACAATTTTTTTAACATGGATAAATCTGATCTTTACATTGTTTGATAAGGTTCTAAATTGTAATTTCAATATATTACATAAAAGTTGCACTGTCCACTGATGTTGCTGGGTTAGGATTTTAGAAATGGAAGTAAAATGTTCATTATGAAAGTGGTTTTTTGTTTGTTTGTTTGTTTGTTTTTGGTGATTTTTGACTTTGAAAATAGATAGAAACAAATTATAGATAAAATAAATAACTTTATTACTTGATCAAAAATTCTGTCCTTTAGTGACATATTTGAGTACTTCCCAATGATATATTTCACTCTGCTAATTTATTGAAACATATATCATTTTGCCATACTACCTGTGTAAGTGAGAAAGAACTAGAAACTTAGGCATTAACTACATCTATATACAAATGATAGTTTGCATCTATAATTATATGCATGCTTAAGCAAAATTTTAAATGTATATATATGTCCTATGTCCATGTTTACACATACATTTAAACATTATCAAAGTGATTTATTTATTTATTTATTTTTTTGTGTGTGTGTGTGTCTGTTAATGAGCAGCACAGAAACTGAAAATATCACAGTTTCTGGAATAATTCATTGCAGTATGCTTTCCAGGAGCTATTAACAATTCATGATCCTGAGTAATGCATATACTCCATCCATAGAATTCATATTTTCAAATATACTAACAGAAGAAACATGCTCAGGATTTCAGATATCCTACATCCAGCCCTGGCTTTCCTTCAGCACTTTACAGGAAGGCATACATTTTTTACTGCTTTATCTGTGAAACTTCCTTAAGAGGCACAGATGCAGAAAGAACTCCATCCTTATTTCTCAGATCCTGCTGAAACTAGGACATTACCATGAAACATGAGGTAGTGAGCCAGACCTTTATACAACTGGAAAACAGTAGTGTCAAGAACAAGTTGCCTGTCTGCATCTGTTAACCCTTGTGACGTGGTGTACTCAGCAGAGTTAGTGTGGGGTTAGAGACCTTTTCTTACTGCACAGCCCCTTGTGAAATCCAGACCTCTCAAATCTCTTGTTTTTAGTCTTACCTTCTGTTTTTAGTCTTATCTGCTGCAGATGCTATCAAGCATTAGATACAGCTGGTGAGTGAGATGACTAGGGATGGTACTCTGGTGAATCTCTTGCTTGTTAGCAGAGAAGGACTTCTGAGTGGTATGGAGGTTGGAGTCTTTCTTGAGCATAGTGATCATGAATTAACAGAGTTTTTGATTCTTGGAAAAGTAAGGGGGGGTAGGAGTGGGTGGAGGGGACGTAGCAGAACTACCATCCTGGACTTCAAGAAGATTGTCTTTGGTCTGTTAAGAAGACTGGTTGGCAGAGTCTCCTGGGAGGCAGTCCTGAAGAGCAAAGGCTGAACACTCTTCAAGAAAGAAATCCTAAAGGCTAAAGGCTGGGAGCAGGCTGTCCCTACATGCCAAAAAATGAGCCAACATGGAAGACTGGCGTGGCTGCATACAGAGCTGTGGCTACAGTTCAGGAAGAAAAAGAGGGTTTATGACCTTTGGAAGAAGGGGTGTGTCACTCAGGAGGACTACAAAGATGTCATGAGACTGTGCAGGGACAAAATTAGAATGGCCAAAGCCCAATTTGAGCTCAACCTGGCTATCACTTTTAAAGATAATTTAATTTATATATATATGTATATATGTATATATATATGTGTGTGTGTTTTTTTAAACACAAACAAGAAAAGGAGGACTAAGGAGAATCTCCATCCTTTATAGGATGTGGGGGGAGATATAGTGACAAGAAATACAGAAGAGGCTGAGGTACTTAATGCCTTCTTTGTCTCAGTCTGTAGCAGTAAAAACAGTTTTTCTCCCTGTACTCAGTCCCACCTCAGGACAGGGTGCAGAATGAAGCCTTCATAATCCACAAGGAAATGGCTAGCAACCTGCTAAACAACTTAGACATATTTAAGTCTATGGGGCCAGGTGGGATCCACCCAAGGGTATTGAGGGAGCTGGAGGAAGTGCTCACCAAGCTTCTTTCCATCATTTATCAGCAGTCCTGGCTATCAGGGGAGGTCCTAGCTGAATGTCAGCTAGCAAATGTGATGCTCATCTACAAGAAGGGCCAGAAGGAGAATATGAGAAACTACAGGCCTGTAAGTCTGATCTCAGTGCTGGGAAAGCTCATGGAGCAGATTACCTTGAGTGCCATCATGCAGCACTTACAGGACAACCAGGTGATCAGCATAGGTTTATCAAAGGCAAGTCCTGCTTGATAAACCTGATCTCCTTCTACAACAAGGTGATGCATTCAGTGGATGAGGGAAAGGCTGTGGATGTGGTCTAGCTAGACTTCAGTAAGGCTTTTGACACCATTTCCCATAGCATTCTCCTGGAGAAATTTTCTGCTTATGGCTTGGATGGTTGTATACATTGTTGGGTTAAAAGCTGACTGGGTGGCCAGGCCTGAAGAGTCACAGTGAAAGGAGTTAAATCCAGTTGGAGGCCAGTCACTAGTTGTGTCCTCCAGGGCTCAGAGTACTGGGGCCAGTTCTCTTTGGTATCTTTATCAATGATCTGGAAGATAAGATCAAGTGCACTCTCAGTAAGTTCACAGGTGACACTAAGTTTGGCACAAGTGTTTATCTGCTTGAGGACAGGAGGGCTCTGCAGAGGGATCTGGATAGGCTGGACCGATGGGCCAAGGCCAACACTATGAGGTTCGACAAGGCTAAGTCCTGCACTTGGAACACAACCACCCCATACAATGCTACAGGCTGGGGGAAGAGTGGTTGGAAAGATGTCCAGTGGGAAAGGACCTGGGTGTACTGGTCGATAGCCGGCTGAATATGAGCCAGCAATGTGCTCAGGTGGCCGAGAAGGCCTACAACATCATGGCTTGTATCACAAATAGTGTGGCCAGCAGGACTAGGGAAATGATTGTCCCTCTGTACTTGTCTCCGGTGAAGCTGCATCTCGAGCACTGTGTTCGGTCTTAGGCCCCTCCAAGAAGGATATCAAGGTGTTGGAACTTGTCCAAAGAATGGCAATGAAGCTGGTGAAGGGTCTACAGAACAAGTCTTATGAGGAGTGGCTGAGGGAGCTAGAGTTGTTTAGCCTGTAAAAAAGGAGGCTCAGGGGAGACCTTATTGCACTCTATAATTACCTTAAAGGAGGATATAGTGGGGCAGGGATTGGTCTCTTTTTCCATGTGCCAAGTGATAAGATGAGGGAGAACGGTCCTAAGTTGTGCCGGGGAGCTTTAGGCTGGATATTAGGAAAAATTTCTTCATGGAGAGGGTGGTTAATCATTGGCATAGGGTGCCCAGGGAAGTGGTTAGTTACAATCCCTGGAGATCTTCAAAAACATCTAGATGTAGCGCTTAGTGACATGGTTAATGGTAGACTTGGCAGTGCCATATTTTGTCTTTTAGACAAGGTAACTATTGTAGAACAAATCAGTTGTTTAGAGAACCTGGCAACTGGTAAAATTATATTGTCCCAGGGCTCTGAACCTCAGGTCTCTGTTCCCGTTTCAGGAGCACTGAAGTCAAAGAGCATGGCTGTTTGACCTCCAGCTGAAAAAAAAAATGAACAGGAAAATGAGATTTGGAGCTCAAACAGGCCTATGGAATTTCAGTAGCTACATCCACAGCTCATTTAGAACCCCTTGTATTTCTAATTATATTATTTCATATTACTCTTCAATATAACAAATGTAAATAAAGTTGTAAAAAACATACTAGGAGAGAAACAGTTGAGTTTTGGGAAGGGAGGATTATTGTTATATATATGTATTTTTCATTAGTATTCACTTGCATGCCTGCCTTTGTAGATATCAAAGTTGTTATAGGGCAATATCTTGAATATCTTATTGTCATGGATTCGCTTGAGTGGGCAGCCGAGCTCCACCACAGCCGCTCTCTCACTCCCCCTCTTCAAAGAGGAACGGGGAGAAAATACAATGAAAAGGGCTCAAAGGTTGAGATAAGGACAAGCAGATCATGCAGTAATTATTGTAATGGGCAAAACACATTCAACATAGGGAGATAGTAAGATTTATTACTTATTACTAACAAGCTAGAGAAGTTAGAAACAAAGGAAAGAAACCAAAAGCACCTTCCCCCCCATCCACCCTCTTCCACCTCATCCCCCCAAGTGGTGCAGGGGAACGGGGGAATGGGAGTTACGGTCAGTCTACAGTGCTTCTTCTCTGCCGCTCCTTCTCGGTCACTCTTGTCCCCAGTGCTGTGGGGTCCCACTCACAGGATACAGCCTTTGATGAACTGATCCAGCATGGGCTTCCCACAGGCAGCAGCTCTTCCAGAACTGCTCCAGATATGGGTCTGTACCACGGGGTCCATCCCTCAGGAGAAAACTGCTCCAATCTGGATCCCCCACGGGCAGCAGCTCCTGCCAGGTCACCTCTCCACGGGCTACAGGTCCAGCCCGGAATCTGCTCTGGCAGGGGTCTTCCACAGGCGGCAGCCTCCGTCGGTGCAGGGCCACCTGCTACACCGTGGTCTCCTCCACGGGCTGCAGCGTGGAACCCTGCTCCACCGTACTCCATGGGCTGCAGGGGGACATTCTGCTTCACCATGGTCCTCACCACAGGCCACAGGGGACTTCTTCTGCTCCGACGCCTGGAGCTCCTCTCCCCCTCTTTCTTCACTGACCATGGCACCTGCAAGGCTGTTCCTCACTCCTCTCACTCTCCCAGCTGCTGAGTGGCGCAGCATTTTTTTCCCTGTCTTAAATATGCTCTCACAGAGGCTCAAAACAACATCGCTTATCAGCTCAGCTCTGGTCAGCTGTGGGGCCCTTACCAAACATGAGGCAGCTTCTAGATCCTTCTCACAGAAACCACCCCTATGGCCCCCTGCTACCAAAACCTTCCCACGTAAACCCACTGCGCTTATCTCTTTGTTGGAGTATTACTTGGGAATCATGGTGAAGATTTCCCATGTAATATTAATGGAGGAATACTAGCTGGAAGAGCTGAGGTCAGTGC